TCTCTCTCCTCTCACCTTAAAAATGTGCCCCCCAGTCTTGAAATCCCCCATCCTAGGGAAAAGACAATTACTATTAACTTTATCTATACCTCTCATTATTTTATAAACTTCTATAAAGTTGCCTCTCACCTCCTACGCTCCTATGAAAGAAGTCCCAGCCTATCCTGCTTTTCTTTATAACTCAAACCTTCCATACCCGGCAACATCCTGGTAAATCTCTTCTGAACCCTCCAAGCTTAATATTATCCTTCCTATAACTAGGCAACCAGAACTGGACACAGTACTCCAGAAGAGGTCTTACCGATGTCCAGTACAACGTTAACATGACTGCCCAATTCCTATACTCAAACGACTGAGCAATGAAGGCAAGCGTGCTGAATGCCTTTTTATCATGTTGAATGGCAGAGCAGGCTTGAAGGGCTGAGTGGCCTACACTTACTCCAATTTTCTGATTCTATAAGTTTAGAAACATGAGAGGCAACCTTATAAAAACCAAACAAGATTCTTAAAGCAGAAATATTGGGTGTCTGTGGCAAAGGGGCAGTAATAATTATGGGTGATTTTAATCTACATATAAACTGGAAAAATCAGATTGGCAATTGCAGCCTCGATGAGTTCATTGGATTATTTCAAGATACATTATAAAGTCACACATTTTGGAACCATGCAGAGAACAGGCTGTACTAGATTTGGGATTGGGAAATGTGACAAGATTAACCTCAGACTAAAGACACCTCTTAGTAGCAGTGATCATAATTGAATTGTTCATCCAGTCTGAAAGGGACAAATGCGAATTAAGACCAATACTTTAAACTATTAAAATAGCAAATCCATGGTTATGAAAGCTCAGCGCGCCAAAGTTAGATTCTGGAAAGTTTCCTTTAGATTGGAAAGTAACAAATATCTGTTCAAGAAAGGAGTGAAGCAGGAAACTGGAAGTTTAAGGCCAGCTAGTTTGAGAACCGTCATGGGGAAGGTGTCAGAATTGATCATTAATGAGGCTACAGCTGGGCACTTGGAAGAACTTAGGTAATCGGAGAAGTCAGAACAGTTTTGTGAAAAGGAAATTTAAACAATTTATTGGAATTCTATGAAGGAATAACATGTTCTATCATAAAGGGGAGGCTGCTGATGTACTGCAATTGGATTTCCAGAAGGCAAGATGCTACATAAAAAGGTTACTGCAAAACAGGAGATCATGGTATAGGGGATAACATACTAGCACGAATAGAAAATTGTCCAGCAGAAAACAGACAGAACGCACGAATGGGACTTTTTAAATTTGGCACAAAGTGACAAGTAGGGCCTGCAGAGATCTGTGCAGGGACCTCAATTTATTACAGTTATGTCAAGGGCTTAGATGAAAACATGGTAACTAAGTGTGCAGTTGATACAAAGCTGGTAGGAAAGCATGTTGTGAAGAAGACATAACAAGGATGAAAACTGACATAGATAGGTTAAGTGAGTGGGCAAAAGTCTGGCAAATAAAGTGTAACATGGAAAATGTGAAGATGTTCACTTTGGCAGGAAGAATAAAATATTTAATTGTGAATGACTGCAGAATTCTGAGGTGCACAGGGATCTAGGTGTTTTAGTACATGAGTAACAAAAAGCTAGTGCGCAGGGTAACACAAGACTAATGGAAAGCTATCTTTCTGTACAAGAGGAATTGAACATAGGATGTTGTGTTTCAGTTACACAGGGCATCAATGATACCACAACTCAAAGCCTGTCTGCAGATTTGGTCTCCTTATTTAAGGATATAAATGTTTTGAAGGTAGTTCAGAGAAGGTTTACTAAATTGATGACTGGAATGAACAGGTTGCTTCTGAGGATAGGTTAGACTGGGCTGGAATTTAGAAGAACTAAGATGATTTGATTAAAGTTTATTAGATCCTGAGTGGTTTTGACAAGATGGAGGTGGTAAAATTGTTTATTCTGTGGGCAATTACAGAACTAAGGAACAGTGTTTTAAAATTAGGCTTTGCCTTTTTAGAACGAACGAGTTTTTTTTTGTCTCTCAGCGAATTGTGTGGCTTTCGAACTCTCTGCCTTAGAAGGCAGTGAAATCAAGGGACATCAAGAATAGATGGAAATGTGGAATTTGAAACTCAGACAGATCAGCCATAAACTTATTCAATGACAGAACAGGGTTAAAGGGTCAAATGGCCGACTTGTGCTCCTAATTTGCATATTTGTATGCAATCTGACTTTTTCAATATTACTATCAGGTGGGATTACAAGAAGAGTTACCAGCCAGGCTGGTGCAGAGTGGAAAACGACACTGCAGCCATCCGCAAACTGTAGATCCCATTTGTTTACGATGGTCAGTTTAATTTTGGCACCAATGCAATGAAGATAAGGAGTTTTCAACCTAGACGTTATTTATTGCTGACTTCTTGCTGTTTTGTCTTTTGATAATCGTGCAGGAATTCTGGGGCATAGAATATAAAAGGACCAAAACCTGGAAATTTGTATTTCTAAATAATCATAAGGTGATGTAGCCAGGACAAGGTCAGGTACTTTAAGGAGAAGAATACATGAAAACCAATTCACAGCAATTGACCATAAGAGGATGAATTCAGAGGACTAGTGGGAGGTTCTTTCATAGATCCAACTCGTATGAAATGGCCTGAAAGCAGGAGAGGCATAATACATGTTCTGCACATTCTGTGATAAATTTTAAATGTCAAAACTGCCATAAACGAATACGACAGAATATCTTCAATATACTATAATACTGTGCACAGGCCACTAAATGTAATGTTTCCACACTGCTCCACAATTCAGTGAGCTAACAGCATAATCATCAACTTAGTGTCTCTGGAAAAATGCAAAAATAAAAATGGAAACGCTATTTGATAATCAGCACAGCTCTACATTGTCTGCAAACTATTATTGTTGTTTACTTTGGTTATTAGTCACAGGAATGATTGAATGAATGATTTATTGTCACATGTACTTTACAGTGAATATGTAGTAAAATACAGTGAAAAGCTTCAACTGTCACCAGATCTGGCACCATTTTTGAATAGCTTAAGAGTATAAAAATGATATAACTGAAAGAGAGCCAATCTTTGTTCCACCACCTCTGCCATGAGTCCTAAGCCATCTCACCAGTGACACCTATGCAGCTACCCCTCCTCCACCCCCCTTGCCGCTGTCTGCACCAGACCCATCAACAATAAGTCACAACTGTACAGGTGGGATCTTCTTACTGCTGGCTCCAACTTGTCAACGCTGCAGACGATGGTCCTCCGCCAGCTGCTGCCTGTGCTGGACTTAGTAATATTGGAGTCCCCACTCTACAGGCGCCATCTGTCCGCTGCCTCACCGATGCTCCTCTGCCAGCACATCGCCGCCATCTGAACTGCACCCACCAACGAAGTCGCCACTCATGCAGGCGCCATCTTTTTGTCGCTGGGCCCACCTCACCGACATCACCTCCGCCAATGCAGTAGCCGCTGATATTGATGCTGGGTCCCATGCTGGACCCACACTCATCTTTCCACCGATAAAAGGTAAGGAGAAAAGAAAATGAAGAAAATACAGACGGAAAGAGGAAACGACTAGCCTCAGGCTCAGGGGCACCAACTCTGCCTACTCCTCCGCCATCATCTTATGGAAGGGGACACTGATCTGCTTTACAAATCTGTTTTACAAAACTCAATGTAAATTCTGTGAATTCTGAACTCTACATTAAAACTTTTGAAATAAAATTGACTTGGCTAAATTCCAAGGCATGAATGGCTCAGAAGTAGCTGTGTAAAAGTACAGAAGAGGAAAGAATCATTCCAACAAATTCTACATTTCCACTTAGATAGGAAAACTTTCTTTTTGGAAAACTTTACACTGAGGTGATTTGAATCTTGTCTAAAATTATCCAAACATGCTTCTTAAATCAGACTAAGAACGACTAAGTCTTTCTGAAACTGTAGCAAATTGCTTGCCCTACATCCTTATGTAACGAACCAGAAATCACTGACAGAAAAATCGCTTTGTATATGTCCAAAATTTCTATCACATTAAATATCAACTAATATAGTAAAAATGCTAACAAAAGGCTCAATCATGTAAACTGCTCTCAGCCACCAACAATAGCACTCACGTAAATATCCCTAACTTTTGATTTCCACTTTCACAATGGCAATCAGTTATGAACTTATCCCATGCAGAAACAAGGCAGTCAAATTTGCATCTTAAAGCCCAACCATGCACCATTACATTTAAATTTCATTTATTCCCCACAACCAATAACAGTGACAGCTAAAATACAATGTATGAAAGATAAGGTTCCAGATGTGCCTCATGTGAAATAAGAATAAAATTTAATGTTCAGAATAGATCCTTCCTCAAAGCACCTCCTTATTGCCGTTGAGAGATGCTGAGAGAAATGAAACAACATTTTCTTACTTTTCCCATGTTAATAACCAGGAAAACTCCTCTCCTGGTCTTAGTCATGAGGAATAATCAGTCTAAATAAGTTTATAAAGCTTTTGGCAACTTCGTTATTTCTGACCTAACAATGGGTTGTACCTTGAGCCACAAGAGGGCAGAAGGAAGCTGTCAAACAGCTCCAGTTCAAAAATAAGTTGAAGGAATAGACATATGTATTTATGTAGAAACATTCTGTTTTTTAGGCAATCAGCAATAAGCTTCAGGGAAATGCTTGCTGCTAATATGACATTCATTCTACTAGGGAAGATACATGTAACTAATTTTCTCAAATCTGCAGGGTGACCCCTCTTTGTCTCTTGTCCCTCCCTCCTGATAATGCATTTCTTGATACTGAAATTTGGATCGCTTGGTACAGCTGATAAAGATGAAATACATTTTTAAACAAGTGGTTTTAAAAGGCTATTCTCTGCTAACAATGCCAAACCCAGAAGAGTACCAAGAACAAAATATATTCTGAAAATGCAAAACAAAACATACATTATGCATTAGCTAGAAAGTATAAATTCAAACACAAGCGAGTAAATGCAACACTTTTAATATACCTGTGGTGAAATAGAGGAGCCTTTTGGTGGAGCACTCTGAGTTACATTGCTGATGTGGCTTACATTCGAGCTAGTTCTTGGTGTTGGATGGGAGCTGTTTCAAATAAAGGGAGAATGAGTTGAGACTGTTTTATTTCCTTTCAGATACACTTAAAGTCAATGGTAAAAAGGGGGCAGAGTTAGAGGATAGGCAGAAATAGAGCCCAGAGAAATATAATCAACAGTTAGGGAGATAGAGGGATAGATTATAGTACGCTCAGGAGAAAGAGAAGCTGATAATGGGGACCGTAAATAGGTGAATATGGGCTAGCTGGGCTGAAAGCAGCCCTTGTCATGACATGACCCATGTGTGGGTATCAGTGTTCGAAATCATGAGTGATCTGAACAGAGTATATCGGGAGAAACTGCTCTCACTGATGAAGAGATCAAGAAGGGCCCACAGGTTTAAGGTAATTGGAAAAAGAAGCAGTGGAGAGCTGGAATATTTCATGCTGTGTGTGGCTAGGATCTGGAATAAGCTGCCCGAGAAAATGATGGAAGCAGGTTTAATCAAGGCATTCAAGAGGAAATTGGCTTATTGTCTGAGAAAAACAGAACGTGCAGGGTTACGGGGAAAAGTTGGGAAATGGCATGAAGTGAATTCTTAATTCAAAGTGATGCAGACATGCTGAATGTGCTGTAAAAATTCAGTGATAGAGCTACATTAAAAGCTAACTTGGTGCTCTGACAATATGCAATCCTTCAATACAGTTGAACCCCATTCCAAACTCTCAAACTTTAGTGAGAGAAATGATTCAATAATACAAGAAACATATAGGAGTACCTGAGTAAGAAGATGGACTCCTTGGAATTGAAGTCCTGTGCACTTTTTGGCTGTAAATCAGCAGGGTTTTCTGCAAAATAATGGGTAAATATCAATTTAAAATAAAAATATTATACATAATGAAGACAATGCAGTCATACAAAACTGAAGATTTTACAGAAATAAGCTACTTTAAAAGATAGAACAATTGTTTGCAATTCTTTTTCAATAGAAAGTGAGAACAACTAAATGAGCTTACAACATCTTGACAGAACGGTTACCCATGTTTTTCTTATGTGAGACAAAAGCGGGGAATGAAATTAAGTGGATGTCTCTTTCAGTTAGCCAGCACATTGGCAATTAAATGTTGAGAAGACCAATGCCACTATCTTTGGAGCCTAAAACAAATCAGCCATTCCCTGAGGCTTAGCCAGACTGCTCTCAATCTTGATGCCTTATTTGACCAGGTTAAGCTCCAAACTTCACAACCTCATCATCACCTAGGTCACACATTTCCACCTCCATAATATTGCCTATCTCAGCCCTGGTTTAAACTCACTGGCTAGTCAAACCCTCAAACATGCCTTTTAGCCACAGATGCGGCTAATCCAAAGGTCTTCACCTTGTTCTGTCCATAAACCTGAGTTCACCCAAGGACTGCCGCCCATATCTCACAAGTCCTATTCACACATTGCCTTATGATCTCCATTAGCTTCCAGTTAAGCAATGCCTCAAATTTAAAACTCTCATCTTAGTTTCCAAAGCCTTCCAGGTCATGCTCTTCCTCATCTCTGCAACCTCACCGCCCTCCAGGGTCTTTGTTCTCTTCCAATTACAGCCTCTTGTGCCATCTAGGTTTCCTTCACCCCATCATTGGTGCAAAGCCTGAAGCTTCTGATCCCAAAGTCCTTGAATTCCCTCCCTGAACATCAACGTTTCTCTTTTCTCCTATAATATTCCTTAAAACCTTGATCTTTGGCCAAGGTTTTTGTCACCTGTCCTAACAGCTCCTTTGGTTCACTGTCAATTTTTGTTTGTTAATACTCCTGACCAGTGCTTTGAAAGATTTTATGAAGCCACAAGTGGTATATAAACATAGGGTTGCTGTAAGGGACAAAACATCATCAACTGTAAGCCAAGTTTCGATTAAAGTCTTGTTGTCAATACATATACATGAGATAAATGAACAAACATTCCTGGTTATAGGCTGATATATTTTCTAGATATGCCTCATGTATTAAAGATCAAATACACAACCTCCTAGTTCTCTTAATGTATTCTTTAATCCTATCCTTATTTTATATATATATAATATATATATCCTCAGAACATCCTGATTTCACTAATCAGGCTGAAATAAAAGTTTTATCCCTTACATTTACAGCACAATTACAGTTGCTGACTACAAATAACAAGTATGTAATGTGCCTTCATAAGCGGCTCTCTGATTCCAAGACTGACCACCTTATATCTATGAGATGAAGCTCTTGCCCACAAACACTCAATCACAGAATGCTGACCAACCAAGTAGCTGTCCTTTCCTTTAAACCTCAGATGTAATGTCAATCTAAGTCAATATCCCAAGACTGAGTGTTCACCCTTAAACATTTAACTTCTACACACACACACACACCCTAACCATAATGCTGAAGAAGGGTCACTGGACACAAAATGTTAATCTGTTTTCTCTCCACAGATACTGCCAGATCTGTTGAGTTTGTCCAGCAATTTCTGTTTTTGTTTCAGATTTTCAGCATCTGCAGTTCTTTGTTTTAGTCTACATTATCACAATAATGCTCCTGCGAGATTCCATTAACAATAATGGGATGATTAACTAAACATTTCAAAACTTGCATGCCCAAATAAACTAGCATATGGACTGAAATCCAAGCAAAGAAATTGATTAGTTTAATTGATGAATTAAAGAAACTCAATGCGAGCAATAGACTAGTTTGCCACCATAACTGAAAGTGTACTTTTCACACAGGAACCAGTCAAGTTACCATTTGAAGTTTCAATAGCAAACCCTTATCCATCACAAGTCAGCTGTTCCAAAGGGCGATTACTCATTTCAAAAGAAATGCTTGCTGCTCTCTAACCAAATTACTCCCTGCAGACAAATGGAAAAATACTGCAGATACCATCTGATATTTTCTGTTTTTCTTTCTTTTCCTACATGGTTTATTTGTATTTCTAGCCAAGTCAAAAATCATTTATTAACTGACTAGTCAAACCTCATTTTTAAAAAACTTGAAAATGCATTTTTTCACTGTTTGTGGGCATACTAAGGCCTGTATTTATTGTCCATTACTTGACTTTTTGAAGTACACATAATGGAAAGACTGCTAACCACAATAAGTTTTATTTTACCCAATTTGTAGGATTTTTGTTGCTGTTTGCGGTCCATTTGAAGGCTTGATGTTTGCAGGTTTTCTCTTCCTCCAGTCTGTTGCAACTCACTAGCAATGACTGGCGAACAAATTTCACTGTCACTAAAAATCAAATGCAAGATTTGTGAAACAATTCTAATTTCTACAGTTAGAATTGAAAAACAAAGTACATGGAATTCTGGTACACTTTATACATATGCATACTTATGAGCTACAATCATTCACAATGATCCTGATGGTCAAAATCAGTGACAAAGAACAACAGGTCAGTACTGTTAGGGTCCTGGTCTCCACCACCGAACATAATTATCCAAAAACATTTGCAAGGGTGTTACAGTAAATAAACATCCTCTGTTCCATTTAACAATAGGAAAGCAAAGCAAAATCCATTTAAGAATCTTTTAAATAATTCATTTTAAAAATGCTGATACTTATGTGTAATAAGACAATAATTTTAATAATTGCAATAAATCACTTCCAATTTTGTTTTAATATCTGACAGGTTTGCAAGCACCAAATTACACGATTTCCTGATATTTGATGCATCTAAATGCTGTACGTAAATAATAAGAGAACTCAGTTAACAGCATTTTCTTAGTAACTTGACATATAGTATTACACAAAGATCAGCTATTGACCTAAATGGTCATTGATAAATGGAAATGTCCCCTTTATCCAGTTTGTAGTAAACTGTTGTTGGATTTAACCAATACACTGAAAAAAGAACAGAATTTTGATTGCGTAATTGAATTGGAACAGCTTAGAATACACATTAACCATTCATCAACTGTTTTCTTTTCCAATTTTGTTCAACTTAAAATGATCCATTTATTTTATTCTTATACAGAGTTTGCATGCATTTCAACTCAAAAATTATTGTCCATTTTGTTCAATCCATTTTCATGATGTGAGCAACATTTATTGCCCAGCCCTCATTATCTCCAGAAGGCGGAATCTAGTCTATCCAGGCCTCTCAGAATTCTTTAAGTTTCAATGAGATCTCCCCCTCATCCTTCTAAACTACACCGAATACAGACCAGAGTCCTCAACCCCTCCTCATAGCAATCACAGAATCCATTCAGCCTATCCAGTCTGCACCGAGCCACCAAAGAGCATCTGACTCAAACCCAGCCCCCAGCCCTATCTCATAACCCCGCATTTACCATGGCAAATCCACATAGCCTGCACCTCCCTGGACATGATGGAGCAATTTAACATGGCCAATCCACCTAATCTGCACAGTTTTGGACCATGGGAGGAAACTAGAGCACCCAGCAGAAACTCATGCAGACAAGGGGAGAACGTGCAACCTCTGCACAGACAGTCACCCAAGGCTGGTATCAAACCCAGGTCCCTGGTGCTGTGAGGCAGCAGTGCTAACTTTTGAGCCACCATGCCGCCCTTCATTCCCAGGATCATTTTTGTAAACTCCTCTGGACCCTCTCTATGGTCAACATGTCCTTCCTTAAATATGGGGCCCAAATGTGGTCTGACCAGAGCCATGAAGAGCCTCAGCAGTAATTTCCTGCTCTTATATTCTAGCCCTCTTGAAATGATTGCTCACATTGTATTTGACATTCTAACTGCCAAATGAACTGACATTTCAGAGAATCCTGAACGAGGACTCCCATATATTTTTGTGCTTCAGATTTATAAAGCCTTTCCCAATTTAGAATCTACGCCTCTATTCTCCCTACCAAGGTGCTTAACCTCACACTTTCCCACATTGTATTCCATCTGCAACTTCTTTGCCCACTCTCCTAGCTTGTCCAAGTCTTTCAGCAGCCTCACTGCCTCCTCAACACTACCTGTCTGTCCACCCATCAGATGGGTAAAGGGATTCCTAAAGGAGCAGCTCATCTAATAAAGTTGCTGGACTATCATCTTTGCAGTCTCTCCCCCTCCGTTGCTTGCAAAGCAGCAGTGGGGTGTGAATACAACACTTAAGTGTCCAACATTTCCACCGACCTTTGTAAAATAGGAAAGAGATTAGGGCAGGTGGTTAGATAGTGGGCAGGCATTTTAACAGCGCACCCCTCCCTGACCACTTCACCCATTTTGTTTTCACAGGCAACTGCATGGGAAGCAAAGAAAGACAATCAGAGGGTAAGGAATCTTTAAATGTCAAATACAAATATTTACAGACTCGTTGACGCCATTTAATTTAAAATCAAGAATTATAATGCCAGAAGTCTCCGACTGAAGACAGCTAAGATTGACAACAGTGGTGCTTTGGAATTGAATTTAATGTTAAATCCTCAACCTCCTTTTGCTACTGACCTCAAGCATTTTCTGTTCTCTTCTTCATTTAAGGATTTTTCACATCTAGCAAAGGCTCCTTGCCAAAAAGGATGCTGCAGTAAATCTCTCCACTTTAACCTTGGAAGTAAAGTTTTAAATAATCATTTAAAATTCTAATGTATTCCCAAAAGCCAAAACTATACGGTATCTTTTCCAAATTTACCAGCTTATTTTTTTCAAAAATCTACACTAAAAATACATCACAGTTAATATTCTAAAGTGCAAATGGACATGGTTTCTAAGTTAGCTCTTATTTGGAATAATCTAGAGCTTGAGGCTATCAATGCATCAAATTTCTATTATCCATATTTAAATTGTATTACAATAATACTATTAATTGAGAGATATGGGATGAAGTTGCAACAAGTCTGAGAGACATCATTAGTTGTCTCAGTGCTGTCACATACCGGGAATTACCAACTATTGCACACTGCCACTAAAACTGATTTTGAATTAACATGTTAGATAAGGTAACCAAACTCCACAGAGGGGTCTGCAATTGACCTTGTTCTCACATCTAGCCACTGTAATAAAATTAGCATGCAAAGAGGGTTAGTTAATTAACAGGAAACACAGTCAGAATAAATGGGTTTTCAGGTCGACAAACTGTAACTAATCAGGTGCCACAAGGATCAATGCTAGGACCTCAACTATTTACAATCTGTACTGATAGCTTGGATGAAGGGACTGACTGTATTTTAGTCACGTTTGTTGAAACACAACAATAGGTGGGAAAGTAAATTGTGAGGAAGGACAGATTACGTCATCCTGAAGAGGGGCTGAAAGGTGATCAGCAGACTTTAAAAGCCACAGCCAAGAACTATATCTGAGATTTTCACTCCAATTTCTGGAACCAGCAGTTTTCTACAGTGTGTGAAAAGAGGAAGGTCAGGCCCTGCATGCTACAATCTCAATGTTCACTGTAGCCTCAAAATGAAAGCAGGTGTTTCAGAACTTCTTAATTTTGATGGAAGCATAAACTTGATTTGATTTATTATTGTCACATGTATTGAGATACAGTGAAAAGTATTGTTTTGTGTGCTAACCAGACAAATCACACCTTACGTAAGTACATCAAGGTAATAGTACATAATGCAGAATATAGTGTCACAGCTCCAGAGAAGGTGCAGAGAAACTCTAATATATGAGACTTATGAGAGGTCCATTCATAAGTCTGATAACAGTGGGGAAGGAGCTATTCTTGAATATGTTGGTACATGCTTTCAAACTTTTGTAACTTCTGTCCGATGGAACAGGGTGGAAGAGAGCATAACCAGGGTATAACCAAAATGTTGGCTGTTTTCCTGAGGCAGTGGGAAGTATAGACTGAGTCGATAGAAGGAAGGCTAGTTTTCATGATGGACTGCACTGTGTTCACTACTTTCTGTAATTTCTTGCGGTCCTGGGCAGTGTAGTTGCCATACCAAGCTGTGATCCATCTGGACAGGATGCTTTCAGTGGCGCATCTTTAAAAATTGGGGTAAGAGGCATTGCAGACATGTCAAATTTCCTTAGCCTTCTGAACAAGTAGAGGCATGGGTGTGCTTTCTTGACTGTAATGTCAACATGGATGGGTCAGGAAAGATTGTTGGTGATATTTACTCCTAAAACTAGAAGCTCTCAGTTTCTCCACCTCAGCGCTATTGATACAAACAGCGGCATGTCCTCCACTCCACTTCCTGAAATCGATGACCAGTTCCTTTGTTTTGCTGGCATTGACAGAAATCGCACAACACCAGGTTATAGTCCAACAGGTTTACTTGAAAACACAAGCTTTCGTTTTCAAATAAACCTGTTGGACCATAACCTGGTATCGTGTGATTTCTGATCTTGCCCACCCCAGTCCAACACCGGCACCTCCACATCATTGCTGACATTGAGGGAGAGATTGCTGTCTTTATACCATGCCACTAAGCTCTCTATCTCTTTCCTCTGTCTCTTCATTGTTTGAGATCAATCCACTACAATAGTGTCATCAGCAAAGTTGTAACTGGAGTTAGACTTGAATTTGGCCACACAGTCATGAATTTATAAGGTGTATAATAAGAGGCTGAGTACACAGCCTTGTCAGGGGGGGACACCAATCTCAATAAAAAGGAGTCTGATGTAGGTGATCTTGTTGTCCAGATGTTCTAGGGATGAATGTAGGGCCAGGGAGATAGCATCTGCCATGGACCTATTGCGACAGTAGGTGAATGATAGTGGATCAACGCAATCTGGGTGGCTGGAGTTGATGTGTGCCATTACTAACCTCTCAAAGCATTTCATAATGCTGGATGTCAGAACCAGCAGGCTGGAGTCATTAAGGCACGTTGCGTGATTTTTCTTTTGCACTGGCATGATATTGGCCTGCTTGAAGCAGATGAGAACCTCACATTGCAGTAAAGAGAGGTTAAAGGTGTCTGCAAATATTCCCACCAGCTGGTCTGTGCAGGAACAGGGGAGGGGTGTAGGATGCGAGAGGAGGTGTCACACCTCCCACAGCATTGGACCGGTGTCCTTTCGAACTAAGGCAACGCCTTTTAATTTGACCACCTCAGCATTAGCCCACCTCCAGTTGCAGGCTGAGACCAAGCTGTCTCTACCGCTGCTGGATCAAAACCCTATTGAACAGTACTGTTGAGTAGGAGGCAGGATTGCAACACTGGGAAATTTCCCCACTTCCGCTTAAATATGAAAATCCAGCTCAAAGAATGTGCCAAGTGATACAGGTAGGTTCAGGGAGTTGTCAAAGATTGGCAAAGCATAAATGTGGGAAACACAAGGCCATTCATTTTAGTAGGAAGAATAGAATTTAAATGGAACGTAACAGAAAAATACTTCAGAACAGTGGGATCTGGGTGACCTTGTACATGAATCACAAGAAGTTAGCATGTAGGTACAGAATACTGACTACAACAGTAGAGGATATTGTTAAGACCACAAACAGCATTACACAAAATTTTGGTCTCCTTATTTAAGAAATGATGTTTGTATTGGAAGCATTTCGCAAAAGATTCCTGGGATGAAAAGATGACTTTATCAAGAAACAGAGCGTCTACTCAGTGCAGTTTAGAAGAGTGAGAAGTGATCCTATTGAAAGATAAGATTCTGACTGGGCTTGACAGGGTAGATGCTGAGAGGATATTTCCTGTCATGGGGGAACCTAGAACGGGGGGCACAGTATCAAAATAGGGGTTTCCATTTAAGATGGAGATGAGGAGTTTCTTCTCTCATACACCATAGAACATAAGAAATAGGAGCAGGAATAGACCATTTGGAACATCGAACTTGCTCCACCATTCAACAAGACCATGACTGATCTGCCCCAGGCCTTACCAACTCCCTGATATTTCAAAAATCTTTTACATCCTCTTGAATATTTTTGGTGAACTATCCTCCACAACTCTCTGGGGTAGAGGATTCCGGACATTCATAACACCATAAGATATAGGAGTAGAGTTAGGCCATTTGGCACATCCAAATCTGCTCCATCATTTGATCGTGGTTAATATGTTTCTCAATCCCATTTTTCCTGCATTCTTCCCATAACCCTGATCCCCCTTACTAATGAAGAACCTACCTATCTCTGTCTTAAATACACTCAATGACTTGGCCTCCATAGCCCTCTGTGGCAATGAGCTCCATAGATTCACTACGTGATGGCTGAAGAAATGCCTCCTCATTTCAGTTCTAAAAGGTCATCCATACACTCTGAGGCTGTGTCCTCGGATCTTAGCCTCTCCTACTAGTGGAAACATCTTCACCACATGCACTCTATCTAGCCTCTCAGTATTCTGTAAGTTTAAATCAGATCTTCTTTCATCCTTCTAAACACTGTCGAGTACAGTCCCAGAGTTCTCATCTGCTCCTCATATGACAAGCCCTGGGATCATTCGTGTAAACCTCCTCTGGACCCCTTCAACTACAACACATCCTTCCTTAGATATGGAGCCCTAACGTGCCCACAATATTCCAAATGCGATCTGACCAGAACCTTAAACAGCCTCAGCATGACATCCCTGCTCATGTATTCTAGTCCTCTTGAGATAAATGCTAACATTGTATTTGCCTTCTTAACTGCCAAATGAACCTGCATGTTAACCTGAACAGAATCCTGAACTAGGACTCGAAAGTCCCTTTGTGCTTCAGATTTCCGAAACCTTTCCCCATTTAGAAAATAGTCGATGCCTTTCTTCTTTCTACCAAAGTGTATAACTTCACACATTCCCATATTGTATTTTATCTGCCACTCCTTTGACCATTCTCCCAGCCTGTCCAAGTCCTTCTCCAGCCTCCCTTTCTCCTCAATATTACTCGTCCATGACAATGACTTCAGTTTCTTCTTCCAAGCTGTTAATGTAAAATGTCAATAGTAGTAGTCCAAACACTAACCCTACGGAACTCCACTAGTCACTGCCTGCCATCGGAAAAAGACCCCTTTATCCCACCTCTCTGCCTTCTGCCAGTAAGCCAATCCTCTATCCTGCCAATACTTTGCCACTAATAACAAAGGCTCTTATCTTATTTAGCAGCCTCCTGAGTGGCATCTTGTCAAAGGCCTTTGGTTTCCTGCCTTCTGCCTCCCTCCCTTCTTAAACAGGAGTGTTACATTAGCCATTTTCCAGTCCTCTGGGGCCATCCTTGACTCTAGTGATTCCTGAATAATCACCACCAATGCCTCTACAACCTCCTCAGTGACCTTCTTCAAAATTCCAGAATGTAGTCCGTCTGGTCCAGATGATTTATCCACCTGCAGAACTTTCAGCTTCCCCTGTGCTTTCTCCTTAGTGATGTGCGCCGCAGTATTTGGCGACTAATTTCACTACTTTGTGCGGTTTTCCCATCGCACAGGAAGCATGGAAATACTTTATGATTAGGAGAAGTAAGGACTGCAGATACTGGAAGCCAAAGTCAATGAATGTGGAGCTTGACAAACACAGCAGGTCAGACAGCATCAGAGGAGCAAGGAAGTCAATGTTTGGAGCGAAACCCTTCGTCAAGTCTGGGGAGGGGGAGGGGAGCACAGAAATAAATGGGGGTGGTGGGGCTGGGGAAAGGTAAGGTGGGATAGCAATAGGTGGATGCAGATAGGGGGT